TTAATTTGTAGGTTACATTTACTTCCCAGAAAGGAAACCAAACTATCCATTTTCGGCCACTTGGCTCAACGCCTATTAAGGGGGTTGTCTGAAACAGAGTGACACCAGTGCCGTACACTCTATGTCGATTTACGGATGGAGACTTATAGTTGTCAGAAATAGGGTGACACCAGTGGCGTACACTCGATCGACCTTACGAATGGATATTTACACGAAAATATGGTCGATCCAGTGTACGCCACTGGTGTCACCCTGTTTCTCACAACCCCCCGTTAGTATGAATTTGATCCCATCTACAGTTTTTGAATAATTGTCATTTGATTATATAATTTTGTATATTTTCGTATAAATGTGAATTCGTAGGTCGATCGAGTGTACGCCACTGGTGTCACCCTCTTTCTTACAACCCCCTTAACCTTTCCTATTAGTATGAATTCAATCCCATGTACAGTTTTTGAATAATTTTCATCAAACAATTTTGTATATTTTCGTATAAATTTATGAGAAGGAAATCACAGGGATCTCGGCCAAAACAGTCTATATTACGTTAATTATCAGTGTCGTCAAGCTTTCGAAGTGTTTTCACTTCATCGTCAGGACCCTTTAATATTGTTGGGTTTATGGTAATTTATTCAAATATAAAACGATTTGAAATATACTTACATTGATTGAAACGTGAAGACTTACATAAATAGATAAAAATGTTAAAAAATTTTATAAGTTATAAAAAAAAAAATCATTTCATCGAATGTACGCCACTGGTGTCATCTATTTTCTGACTACCCCCCTTTACCTTCCCCCTTAGAATGAATTTGATCCCACGTACCGGGTGGCGATTTTACTTAATATAAACTATTACAGCACAAGACACGCCCCCAACTTTGTCATTGCAAAATATAATCGGCCTCGGCGCGATTTCACTAAATATAAACTATTAGAGCACAAGAGACGCTAACATTGCAAAATATAATCGGGCTCAGCACAATCCTGCAAAATCTAATCGTTGACAGCACAACGTGCGGCTGATTCATGTAAATAAATCAATTGAAAAAGAATACAGTTATCGAATTTTAAAAATTTACAAGGTGCTGCAATTTGGAGTGTTTTAACCAGGAAAAACATACTTCCAGACCAGGGCTCGTATTCTCGTAACCGGGGAACAGCGTTCTGAAGAGAATGATTGCGCTCTGTCTCAGTCGCCCATATTGTTATTTCCATAATACTGACAAAGACAAGAGAACTCCTTTCCCCGTTTACGGGAATACGGGCTCAGATAGAAGAAAATTAACCTGTCATGAGATCGATTTTCGAGAAACATCGGTTGTCAAAAACCGTATCACGATATCTTCAATGGTACCATTGATACAGGGCGATTTCCCCCTATTATGACAAATAGCTATAAGTTTTTTGTTTATCAATTTTTTTTTATTTCTGTAAAAACATTTTGGAGATACTTTTTTGAGCATAATCCAGTAGCGGACTCAGATTTTTTCGCTCCGATTCCGAGATATCGACCAAAGTCCAATATTTTTTAATAAAACACCCTATATATTAATAGCTCATTGAATAGCTCTGTTTTTGCTGATTTCAATGATATAAAGTTTGATAGTTTTATTTATCTGCCGATACTTTATTAAAGCTGTTGTGATGGCACACGTATTGTTTACGAAACAATAATCTGCAGTTTTGGCAAAGTTTTTTCACTATCCATTGTGTCTTTGTTATTATTGAAAATTCATTCACCCACTCATTGCAACGCAAGTTAAAGTCGTCGGAATTGCACTTTTCGTCAGATTTCCCTTTTAATTGAAAACTTTCTGATATTACCTAAAACTTTTACATTCGACATTTCTGGGTATCTCTTCAAACAGGTGAGATAGGTGTGGGTGCAAAATATAGACAATCACCCGTTTTTGAATAATTGTCATCTGATTATATAATTTTTTATATTTTCGTATAAATCTGCATTCGTTGGTCGATCGAGTGTACGCCACTGGTGTCACCCTGTTTCTGATACAATTATTTACCTGTTTCTTTTCTAGCTGGTTTTCGCATTTTTTCCAGTTTTTCTCTTCTGCGCTTTTTGCTGAGTTGTTCCCCTGTTCTTCAGTCTTTTCCTGAGAAAAATTGGAACCACCAACAAAATTAAATTTACGAAAAAAAATAAACAAGAAACTTCTAGAAAGAATTTTGAATATTTTTTTTTTTTTTAAACTCGAAACTTTAATTATTTTATATTTTTCGAATTTTGACTTTTCCAGTCGATAAAACAGGTCTTAAATTAGTCATCATCATTTTCATCAAAAAAACAATATATACACTGGTCAGCAAAATTAACGCACCACTACTATATTTTGAGAAATTTTTTTTATTTCATAATATTGATCACATATTTTTATGTCTTAATCAAGTATGTTCTTATTCTAACTTAGTAAGGATATTATCAAAGGATAAAATTTCAAAACAAGGTTAGAATAAAAAATAACAAGAATATTCAAAAATAATTTTTGTTTAACTTTAGTTAAAAATAATTAACTTCCTCCTCTATTTTGAATAATAGTACGGGGAGCGATTATCCATGTTAAAATTACGGGCTTTACTCGTTTTAATCCAAATTAGGGTTGCCAGACCTCCTATTTTTAATATGAGACCCATATATTTAAACTGTTTCTCATATCTCATATTAGCATGTTTAATATGAGACTATTTCTCATATATTTTGATCAAAACAAAGAAACCATGATGTGTGTATCTGATGTATACGTTGTATAAAAATATGTCAAAATAAAAGGTTTTTCGGACATTGGATGTCGGAAAACGGATGCATGAGATTCCGGCTATAGTATGGAGTCTCATGCGATGCATCCCATCCAACCGTCCGATGGTACGATGGAGCTCCCTATTTGCTGAAAAATTTCCCGCCACTTTTTATCCGAATATTTCTAACTTTTTTCCGACGTCTGAACTAATTGTCAAGATAGGAGCTTTTTCGGATTCAAGTATTTTGCAGTACCCGGTGATTGTCTATATTTTGCACCCACACCTATCTCACCTGTTTGGAGAAATACCCAGAAATGTTAAGTGTGAAAGTTGTAGGTGATATCAGAAAGTTTTGAATGATGTTAGTTATAAGTATACAGGGTGTGTCACAAAAGTGTTGTGAAGCAAAGTTATACTTTTTTAAATGGAAAACCCCGTATATTATTGTCCGATTAGCCTTTCAAACCTGATTCAAATATACTAGGCTTTTTAGGTTTATCCTCATAGTCCAGCTTCTGAATTAAAGGATTTTGAAGAAATAATATGGATTTTTTACACGAATGATTACCTTTATATTTTGCTGGTGGTCTCTATACTTCTCCTTTTTCAATAAAAATGCAATTATTCCACACCCCTTTTTGTCCAATTTTCTCCTGGACTATTAGGAATAAACCTAAAAAGAACCTAAAAGAATCATTTAATCATCCATCATTTAAGAAAGTATAACTTTGCTTCGCCACACCTTTGTGGCACACACTGTATACTGTAACTAACATCATTGAAAACTTTCTGATATTACCTACAACTTTCACATTTGTCATTTCTGGGTATTTCTTTATATCTTAAAACAGGTGGGATAGGTGTGGTGCAAAATATGGAAAATCACCCGGTACATAAAATATTCTCATATATTATTATCCAATCTCATATAATTTTACACAGGCTCTCCTATTTTCAAAACTCAAGTATCTGGCAACCCTAATCCAAATTATTCCATATTTGGACAATATGTATCTCCAAAGCCCATTCAAAAGGTTAGGAGTGTTAGGAAGTTCTTGAACACGGTGATAGATCATGTCCCAAACATTCTCAATTGGATTAGGATCAGAACTGTTTGCTAGCCAATCCATATTTCAATTCCAACCTCATTGAAATCGAAATAAGCTAGTGGTGCGTTAAATTTACTTGCCAGTGTATTTTTTTTTCAATTTTTTTTATATTATTTTAATTTTCTGTTGTAAACGCACCCGAAGCTGGCCAATGCAATTTCTATAGTTGATTTGATTGGTCATAAGTGGGGCTCTGTATCAACTCAATCGAAATGACTGGGTTTACATCGGAAAAAATAAAATCACATTTTTTTCTGACAAGGTTAAAAAAAAAGGTGGCCCAATCTGGGATCAAGAGTAAAGATAATTAGCAAGGGGATATTTAGTTAATTAATTAGTGGGAACAAGAAGCAACTTTTGTTGAACTGAAATAGTGATTTTATTAATGGACACTGAACAACAAAATCACAAACTGGTTTTCTAAAATTTCCCAGAAAATGTTTGTGTTTCATTTGGAAATAGTAGAGATAAAAGAATAGTGACTAACTTATATCTTGTCCTATTTAAGGGGGAGAAGAATTTCATGAAATTCCATTGGTGCAGAAAAGTCGACGCCACTGTATATCAAATTGATTTGTTAAGAATTCATCGTTTTTTTTGTACTACTTTATTAAAAATTGATAACTAAAATGTTTTGATTATTTTGCACACGCCTCTTTAGGACCAAGATGAATATTATAAAACTTTCTTAATGAAGAGTATTTAAAAAACAATTACATTATCTACTCACCTGTTTCAGTCTTTATTCTTATCATTTATCATTATGACTTTTGAACACAAAAGAAGTAGGTGCAGATGTACATAATAAACATTTCTATTTTTATTTAGGTAGGTATACAAAAAAAAATATAGTTCCATCTGTGAGCAATGTATTTACAAATTTGTATTGGAGCTGTTCAATGTCCAATAAGAAAACGTGACCAATCTTAAAAAATGATGAATTTTCGAAATTGTATCACACCCAATACCAAATTCCTTTTGATTTAAAACCAATTATACATTTTATCCTGATAAACTCAACTCGTTGGTGACAATTAAATCTTTTATGCTCAAGTACATATTTGATGCTGATAAAAGAGACATTAATTGTTTTTGATTTAAGATAAATTAAAGGACAAATAAAACACATGATTAAAATAAAATTTCCATTTTAATATTTTAAAAAATAATTGATCCATACAAGGCACATTTTGGTCCACGATTAAAAAGAAAGAAAATACAATAGATTCGAACACACACAATTTGATACCTTAATTATACAGTATGGAAGTTGTTCTATAACCTAACCTAAACTAACAATCACAATTATTTAATTAATTTATTTGTCAACTAATAAATGCTAGAATGATACAAGCGAAGTATCAGATCTATCACAGAGAATGGCGATTTCGCCAATCATTTTTTTGATGGTTTTCGAGTCCCAATCAAAAAAAATAAAGGCAAAAACCGTTTCTCTACAGCTTATTTATTACAATTATTATTGTACATTTTAAAAATTTCTAAAACATTAATTAGGCAATTGGCAGTTATAATTGTTTCTGATTATTGTCTGGAATGACCACTTGAGCTACAATACCACGTCGATTAAAAAGAAAAACAAATAAAGGAATTAATTCGTGTATCACTAAAGTCTATAAAAAAAAATTGTATTATTAAGAAAACAGTCTTTTCTGTAATCACAGAGCTTTATTTTTGTTTCAATAAATTGGTCCCCCTCATTGCGCTTCATCTTCATAATTTATTAGCTTTGGACTCTGTCCAGGTGTCTTTTAAGGCACAAATTCTAATTGGATACTTTTCTCAAAGTAAAATTACTACACCGATTCTTTGCCTTCTAGTTTTTTGGCCAAATCCGAAAGGACTTCTTTGAATATCAACGGGTCAATATTCTTGCCTAATTGATACAATACGAACCAGTCGCCGATTTCGCATTTTTCTGCTATGGTCGCGATTTGATCTTGTCCAGCAATGCGACAGCGTGCTCTCAAAAGGTACAAGCGCAATTTGGGGCCCATAATAACACAAACACGATATATTAAAGTAATTCCAGTGAGGATGCTTAGCATGATGAACCAGAACCATAAGAAAACGTAGATTTTTTCGTTGACGATGTTTAGAGGTAGAACGCAAAGTCCATCGAACTTTTGCACCGACCCAGAAGGACCATATTTGTGGAATGTGCATTTGGTTACTTTAGGAAACACTCTGGCCATCGGATCTTCACGTTCTTCTGGTTCCATTTCGGTAAAGCGAAGCACGTCACTACCGTAAGTGCTGAATTCACCATCCAAAAAGAAGTCCATAAAGAAAATTTGTCCAACAACGTTAATAAAGTTGAGCACTTCACATATGAAGAAACGAAACGCGTAGAAGTTTTGCATGTGCAAATTCGTTGTGAAGTAATCGATTAGGAGTTTTTTGCGGTCAGCTTTGCATTCTTCATTGACAATGGGGCAGTTTAGGTCCAAAACTAACATTTTAATTCTGCCACCTTCCCAGGTTTTCCATAAATATCTTGGCACATAAAACAGCATAGCTTGGAAGAACAAGGCAAAGCACACCCACTGATAGTATTTATGATATTTGACTTCGTCCTTACCGTCAACGTGACTGGATACTCCAGGCTGGACCACATCCACACCAATACGTCCTATAACTCTATTAGGGATGGTGAATGTAGAATAAATCCAACAATACGTATCCATAACATTTAAGGGTATTTCATCAACAATACAATCAATAGGGTCCCCTATGTATTGTCTACTAGTTACCAGTAAAGAGAAAGCCACCAGAATAATGACGGTAGCTTTGTAATGCATTCTAAAGACATTATTGTCGATGCACACAGCATCGATTTTTAGCAGCCCCTTAACGGAGCCGAACACGTCGAACATTGCACTGTTGTCTTTTGTCACTTATTTAATAATTAAAACTCACTTTCACACTACTTGAATGCAATCTACCGTCTGTTTAAATTTAAGTAATACTGCGCTCTCGAAGCGACTACTGAATCAACGTTTCGAGCGAGAGCTTTGAACGCTCACTACGTCGATCGCTTGAATTGGGGAGAGGGGACGAGTAGTCGGTCGGATTGGGCCCCCTCTATATAATTTAGCCTCGCAGCCAGGGGTTTGGGAACGAGCTTTTCGGGAAATAAGTTTCGAAATGGGCACGACCGAAAGCCCTTTTTAACCCAAAGATGTTGTATGTATATGAAAGAAGCGAGCTCAAAACCAGTAGTCGATTATAAGGAATTTACTGTTAGTTTTTGGAAGGCTCATCGGAATTTTATTTAAATAATTCCAATGGTATATAGGGGGGCACTTGGGAGTTGCGGTGCGGCTTTTATGTTTTTGCCTCTGAAGTTGTAATAGGCTATAAATAAATCTCATTTCGAAAAGGCACTAAAATATTTTTAACGAGTGTTCTTCTAAAAACAACCTTTTTATGGTTTAAAAGGGGAACATCTGGTTTAAAACTTTACACCTATTAGTTTTTTGTTTCAACTTTTGCGTTATTGAATGCAGAAATAGATTAACAGACCATTATTGAGGCAAAGTTTGCCAATGCTGTCTGCTTGGCCCAGTTTAAAGTGTCTGTTACAATTACACCTAGGTATTCATATTCACTGACCCAAGGAATTTCTTCCTCATTGCAATTTACACTCATCCTGGTAAATTCTTTTTCCTAGGCCTAGGACTCATTCCCAAGGCTGCTGTTTCGTGTATGGAGATTTTAAAATTTAGTTCACCAAACTATTCCGATATATTAGATTGAATCATTCATATCCAGCCCATCAGTCGATAACGTTTCTGGTCCTGCCATTTCCACATAATTATCATTATGTATGCTTCTTTATTAATATTATTGAGAAGATTGTACCTATATGAAATGAAATTGTTTACCTCCATGGATGTATTTATCTAGTTCTTTCAAAGCATTGTATAATTTTTGTATGTTTACTTGATCATAAGCAGCTGTTATATCCAGAAAAACCACAAGTGTATAAATTTTTTGATAATTTTTTACTGTTAGGTAAGTATGATAAACATTCTAGACATCCCCTGCCTTTCCTGAAACCAATTTGTAATTCCGACAATTTCTCTTTATTCTCCAATTTCCATTCCAATCTGCTTTTATAACTGTTTCAAGTATTTTTTCAGGGCAGGAGGTTAATGCTAAAGGTCTTAAGCTTTTTGCAACTGCACTGTCTTTGCTGTCCTTCAACAATGGAAATGTAGATTTTCTTTCTTTGCATTGGTATCTTATTCTATTCTCTTTGAGGATATTATTGGACATTCTAAGTAGATATATTGTTTTCCTAAAGTTGGTAAATATTTGATCATGGAGTATGTTATGTTGTCCAGTCCAGAGGCCGAATCTTTTTTTCCCTTGCATAACATTTTCCAGTTTAGCCAGAGTTATTTCTTCTTCCTTTTCCATTTGGAAATTTTCATGTCTTCTGTCCATTGTGAAATCTGGGTCTATGTTCACCTGGTTCAGATTTTTAATTATATCTATTGCTATTACCCGCCCTTGAGCGTTATAGTCCAGGAGCTGGCGTCGAAAATATGCAAGAGTTTTCGCAAGGCTCATATTTTCAGAATGAGTAGTATTTTAGTGCTACAAAGCTAGGCTACAGTCAGCAGTTCCAGTTCCGGGACACCTGGAGCTGAGATGCGCGCAAAGGTGTATTTTTAATCAACACCTCGCAACAGTTTTCGCAAAGCTGAAAATTTGCGAAGAGCATGCGAATATAATGTAGAACCATAATTTAACAGTCAGACAAAGAAATACAGGGACACGTAGAGTCAGCGCGACTTTGAAGTGGTCAAAAAAATGACGTCACCGAAAGTGTTTTCGCATGGCTGAAATTTGGCAAGGTAATAGTAAAAACAATATATTTATTGAAAAAAATAGTCAGACACTTCTATGTCGGGACCCCGCCAGTCAGCAGTCGATTAAACTGATATAGGTGGTAGCGCGCGTCAATAAGCATATAACCATGTCGAATAATAATTTCACCAAAAGTGTTTTCGCATAGCTGAAATTTGGCAAGGTAATAGTAAAAACAATATATTTATTGAAAAAAACAGTCAGACACTTCTATGTCGGGACCCCGCCAGTCAGCAGTCGATTAGAGTGATATAGGTGGTAGCGCGCGTCATTAGGCATATATCCATGTCGAATAATAATTTCACCAAAAGTGTTTTCGCATAGCTGAAATTTGGCAAGGTAATAGTAAAAACAATATATTTATTGAAAAAAACAGTCAGACACTTCTATGTCGGGACCCCGCCAGTCAGCAGTCGATTAAAGTGATATAGGTGGTAGCGCGCGTCAATAAGCATATAACCATGTCGAATAATAATTTCACCAAAAGTGTTTTCGCATAGCTGAAATTTGGCAAGGTAATAGTAAAAACAATATATTTATTGAAAAAAACAGTCAGACACTTCTATGTCGGGACCCCGCCAGTCAGCAGTCGATTAGAGTGATATAGGTGGTAGCGCGCGTCATTAGGCATATATCCATGTCGAATAATAATTTCACCAAAAGTGTTTTCGCATAGCTGAAATTTGGCAAGGTAATAGTAAAAACAATATATTTATTGAAAAAAACAGTCAGACACTTCTATGTTGGGACTCCCTCAGTCAGCAGTCGATTAAAGTGATATAGGTGGTAGCGCGCGTCAATAGAATTTTACTCTATATATTATATCCATTTCGATGAATAATTTTATTTCTATAATTTAAATTATTTGGAATCGGAAACGGTAAAATACATTTTTTTTCTCTTAATGAGTAAGTGTAAACCTGTAAGTTGCAAGCGTAAGCGCGTATACTTGAATAAGGCGTATATGCATTCGAATTCGGAAACTTCATTATGGTACTGTTAGGTCGAGATTAGGGGAAGGGAAGCGGGAGATGTGATTAGAATTTTTTTTTTGTATTTTATAAAATCGGCGATGATTATAAGTATTTAATGAAACTACAATAAATATAATTAAAACTGAATTTATTTAATTACTATAGGTATACTATCACAGTACTGCTGATTAAATGGTCAAGTAATATTTATATGAATCGGGCTTTTTTCTAACCGCAAACTTTTTAACTGCATGTACAATTTTATTTTACCGTTTCCGATTCCAAATAATTTAAATTATAAAAATAAAATTATTCATCGAAATGGATATATGTATATAGAGTAAAATTCTATTGACGCGCGCTACCACCTATATCATTTTAATCGACTGCTGACTGAGGGAGTCCCGACATAGAAGTGTCTGACTGTTTTTTTCAATAAATATATTGTTTTTACTATTACGTTGCCAAATTTCAGCTATGCGAAAACACTTTTGGTGAAATTATTATTCGACATGGATATATGCCTAATGACGCGGTACCACCTATATCACTCTAATCGACTGCAGACTGGCGGGGTCCCGACATAGAAGTGTCTGACTGTTTTTTTTCAATAAATATATTGTTTTTACTATTACCTTGCCAAATTTCAGCTATGCGAAAACACTTTTGGTGAAATTATTATTCGACATGGATATATGCCTATTGACGCGCGCTACCACCTATATCACTTTAATCGACTGCTGACTGGCGGGGTCCCGACATAGAAGTGTCTGACTGTTTTTTTCAATAAATATATTGTTTTTACTATTACCTTGCCAAATTTCAGCCATGCGAAAACACTTTCGGTGACGTCATTTTTTTGACCACTTCAAAGTCGCGCTGACTCTACGTGTCCCCGTATTTCTTTGTCTGACTGTTAAATTATGGTTCTACATTATATTCGCATGCTCTTTGCAAATTTTCAGCTTTGCGAAAACTGTTGCGAGGTGTTGATGAAAAATAGACCTTTGCGCGCATCTCAGCGCCAGGTGTCCCGGAACTGGAACTGCTGACTGTAGCCTAGCTTTGTAGTACTAAAATGCTACTCATTCTGAAAATATGGGCCTTGCGAAAACTCTTGCATATTTTCGACGCCAGCTCCCCGACTATTATTTCTTGGTTTAATTTTCGCTTTTGAGAATATTCTTATTGTTGACCAAATTTTTTGTAATGATGTACCTATTTCTATTTATATTTCCACAATATATTTCTTAAAGTTCTTTTTCTTTTTTTTTTAATTTTCTTGTTTGAGCACTGACACTCCTTACTTGTATAAAATTTTCCATTGAATATTCAGATATGAGTTCATTTATAGCAGTTTTCCTTTTATTTAAAAACTCCTGACATGCTTCGTCCCACCATGGGACTGGATCTATATGCTTTTCTTTGTTCAGCTTTTTTTGCCGGTATTGTTTTTCCAGCAACTTCTAGTATATCTTCTTCCAGATCAGAATATGATTGTGGGCTGTTTCCCAGAAATCTATCTAACAGTTCGTCATGGCATCTTTCCCAATAATTTGCCTTTCTAGTGTTTCTTCTAGGATTGCTTTTTTGTATTGACTCGATCTCAGTATGTCTCAAGGAAATTAATATTGGATAATGAACACTGTTTCCACAGTCTTCTAAAATTTTCCATTCCATTACTGTGGACCAGAGAAATATCTGGAGCTGATTTATTTTGGCCCGGTATTGTCAGTCTATGTAGTTGGGGAACCATCATTAAGTAAAATTAGAGAAGTTTAATTTAGAATATCATTTATGACATTTCCATTAAAGTTTGCCACTGAACTTGCCCATAGGTGGTGTTGGCCGTTGAAATCTCCTAGTATTAATTTTGGTTCAGCTACTTACCTAGCATTGTATTTTCCCCATGTGCTGCTTTGATTCATTTTTGGCATTATCCTTTAACACGATATTGCCTCTTAGTGTGTCCATATAATAATGCATATATAGATGTTCACGGATCTGGTTAAGATTTTTCCTTTAAATGTGAATAGACACGTTCCCGTCTTTATGTATTCAATTTCTCCTCGTTCATTTGTTATTCTACGATTAAATCTCTGAGACATTGGGACACTAGAATTTTCAATAATTTCTTCTGGTTCAAAATTCTTAACATATTCCTCTCA